ATTAAAACTAATTTGACTTAGGAAAACTGAAGCCATAATGTTAATCAATCTTGAGAAAATAATTCAAATTAAATCAGAAACTAAAGATCAATACAAAAACAAAAATGGATTGAAGAACAAAATAAAATATTTACTGCATCAAATTTTGGTACAGTTAACCGTAAAAATAATACTCGTCCAACTTCATTGTTAATAAAGCTTATAAGAAACTGTGATAGTAGTTTACAATCACAAGCATTCCGGTGGAGTATTGAAAATGAAGATATTGCTCATGAAAAGTTTAAAGAAAAAGTTAACTGTGATGCTAAAAAATGTGATCTTGTTATAAATTCTAAATGCCATGGCTGGTTCTAGCCCTGATAGATTGTATATTAACTAAGACAGCTACAAAATGATTGAATTAAAGTGCTCTTTTTAAAAAGAAATCTCTGCGTGCAAAAACTTGTACCAGTAAAACTTTTGTATGGAAATAGTAATAACTTTTGTATGGAAATAGTAATAGGCAGCAAAAGCTCAAAATCAAACAGCTAATTTTACAAGGTATTAAAACTTTGGTATTGAAAAGAGCCAAATTGACTTTGTTCTATACAAAAATGAAGACTTTTTTTGTATAATCAACTAAATTTGAAAATGAAAACTGGTTCAATAAGATTTTACCTTGCTTAAATACATTTCATTTTCTGTTTATGATTAAAGAAATATTTGAGGATGTAAAAGTATGTACAAATTATTATAAGGATATAGTATTTTTTTTATTCTTCAATATTTTCTTTGTTGGGAATTGCATAAAATAATACATTTTTATGTTTTACTTAGTTGCTAAAGGATTTAGGTAAACAACGTGTAAAATCCCTACTTCTTTTTTTTGTTTGTTTGCTTTTTAGTTAAATAACATTGTTTGGTGCGCTTGTCGTTATCTTTTCTTCGAAACCTTGTATATTGTCAAGTTTACTCCAATGATATAGTTTTTAAAATTTGAACTAAAAAACTTAAAAGGTGTGAAATATAATACGCCAAAGTCTATTCTGACAAACTCAGTTCTTTCAATATTTGACATTTTACTAGACTTATTTTTGTTGTTTACTTCCAAGTACATACAAATACCATAATTTATTGCATTTCCCCTATTCATAATGTAGAAATTTTTCCATTATAACTAGGGTTAAATTTTTGAGCATTTTTTCATTTACTCATTAGTAAATTGAACGGGGATTTAAGGGGACAAGCAATCAATTAAAACTTGATTGAAGCATCATATAGCTTAAATAAATATAAGACAATACATAGCAAATTATGGTAATTGTTAGTTATAGTGCGGCAAAAAATAAATTTCACGAAGATTTTTTTTTTAAATCTGTGATTTTCAAAGTATAACTGAGATAACATGTTAAGGTTATATTGTTATTTATTTCACACATTAGTTTTTCTTATCTCTAAATACTCTAGAATAACATGTACTAATTATTTGTTTCAAAAACGTAGATATAATTGAAATATAACACAGCGTTTATGTCACCGTAAATTACTTATTTATATATATATTTTTTTTATTTCAATACTCAAATACTTAGAGTCCTGGTAACTAAGGGATTTAATATAAATGAATTATCAATAAATTTCTCCTAATATATGTAGATACTAAAATTAAATAAGTTTTCTAGATTAGACAACTAAATCTTTTTTCATTTTGTCCACCTATTGGCCCAATGTGCAATGTCTGACGTTCTGCTTCGGCAAATCTATGTTGGACCATTAATGGTTTTTTTGCTGCTACCCAGTTCAGGCAATTTTATAAAGGCTCGGCAATGGCCCTGTTACAGCTTCCCAGAACTGGCAATCAAAAAACGGAACTTTATCGGGCCTTTAAAGAATTCGCTGGCATTGGCTTGCCAATATCAGACCAGTAAACACTTGCTGTCTGGGTATAACGATTTATAAAGCAAATTTCAAATCATGAAAATTTACAAAATTAAAATCATATTTTAGCAGTAGAAAACCTAAAAAAAAACAGTATATTGTATAATAACAAAAGATTTTTCATTTAAAAATATTCAATTAAAAGTAGGCACGAATCAAAACCTGTAAATTTTTAAAGCCTTTTAACAAAATTTGGTGCATCTTGAGGTCGGAAGGAATGTGGTTGTTATTTATAATTACAAGATACATATAAAAAACATAATGTTTTTTATCGCTTACAAAGAAGTATATTTTATATGTATTTTTATTTTGTATATTATTGAGGGATTTATTTTATAAATAAATTACCTTTAAATCAACATCCTTGGCATAGACGTAAATTTGAACCCGAAATATACTTGATAATTGCTTTGACAAAAATTGATGATATCCACATTAATGTATTTTTGATTGCCTTTAAAACAATACGCTTCCTCTGTATATTACAATTAAGGAAACTAATCAAAAAATAAATTACTAATTACAGTAATATGGCCCTGCGATTAGAATTGAGTAATTATATAAAAAGCTCATGTTCATCAAAACAAAATGAATTAGCGAGAACAGGTATGAGCAACTGACATTCTTGTACCTATTGACATTTCTCATACCTGTTTAGAACAGGTATGAGCAACTGATTTCTGACATGCACTCCTTGATAAATTCTCCTTCGGCAAATGGTTTTAATGACTGCCAATTTTGAACTAACTATAAAACTAGCTTTTCAACATTATCAAGTTGTGTTTTTTGTTTAAGAAACGTTTGCTGCTGTTTTTTCAAATTCGCGATAAGTTTTTTGATTTTGTCTTTTCTTGTTTGACCATTCAGTGAGTGAAGCGTAGGATGCTTAGTGGAGTAATGCCTCTTTATATTAAATTCTTTCATCACTGAAATTGATTCATTACAAAACAAACAAATAGGCTTACCATTGTGCAAGGAAAAAAGAAATCTTCAGTCCATTTTTTCTTAAAACTGGCGACCCTCTCTATATACTTTTCTTTTCTTTCCATCAGACATCATTTTTGTTTAATTTTCTTTTGATAAAATTTCTACCAGCAAAAAACAAAATGTGCGCGAAGTTTTTTTAACAACATGGATTAAGGTAAATTGGCAGGCACTTTATCTTAGATAATGTAGGTCAGGATGTTGTCAGCATACTTTTCGAGAATGGTATGGTAATGGGAGGTAGGTATTTATATCGGAAATAAAGAGAATGAACAAGAATGGATCGAGAATACTACCCTGAAGTACTCTGACTTGTATATATTTCCAGTCAGTAGTGTGATTGCTTGTTTTTACTCTTTGGCGACGATTAAATAAGTAAGTTGCGATCCAAGATATGAGCCAGTTAGGCAGAATATTCACCAACTTTAGTAGCAACTTGTCATAATCAACAAGATCAAATGCTTTTGCAAAATCGAAAAATATTGCAAAAATTGTCTTTAGCATAATTCCAATCTTCTATAACTTGAATAATAGCGTTCATTGTACTACGGCCTGGAAGAAAAGCGAACTGTTTGTTTGAGACCCAGATGTGTTTGGTGTGATGGACGATGAATTTGGTGACAATGCGTTCAAACACTTTGCATAAGCAGACGTAATAGCAATTCGACCATAGTCATTAGAAGATAGCGGGTTGGAGATTTTAGGAATTGGTGCTATGTTTGCTGATTTCCATTGATCAGGAAAGTAACTATTTTCTATCAGGCGGTTAAACAGGATATTGATATATATATATATATATATATATATATATATATATATATATATATATATATATATATATATATATATATATATATATATATATATATATATATATATATATATATATTTATATATATATATTAGGCTGGAATAAAAATAAAAGTTTGGTCTATCAATGAATATTTTATTACGCCTACCTGTAAATGAACAATAAATATTAAAAATGGTAATTTGAGACATGAGGATCCACCCTATTTTTACCTTTACACATCAGACAGGTCCCGAATATTATAGAAAAAAATTTCTTTAAAAGTATGCTATGTTGGGTCTAAAAAGAATTGAAATTTTATAAAAATTTCAAAAGTAATCATTATATATCATAAAAACGTCTCTAAAAAAATCGACTTAAAAAAACCGTTCAAAAATTGATTTTTTCAATATTGTTAAAAAACGACACATTAAAATGTAAACTAATAATTTAAATACAAAATAATTAATTTTTTTGAAATTTTTATAAAATTTCGCTTTGTTTAAGACCCAATGTGACATACTTTTATAGAATTTTTTTTTCTATAATATTAGCTAAGGGTCGAAATGGGGCTTTCCTGTTACGCATTTTTATTTTTTACAACGGCTTCTGGTTTTATACATGGATTGACATATAAGTAGGGTTTACTGTTATGAAATTCACACTTTTGTTTATTTTGACCTCAGCCCAATATATATATATATATATATATATATATATATATATATATATATATATATATATATATATATATATATATATATATATATATATACATATACACACACAAAACAAAAATTGCAATACATGTACCTAAAAAATTAGTTAATTTATGTTATATATATGTTATATGATCATATTATTAGGATGATATAACATAAAGAGCCGTGGCTTAACTATCCCACACCACCCAATCGGGGGAGGGATGGTGGTGGACCCACCAATTTAGGGGGCCCATTTTAAAATTTAAAGGCCTTTTACGAGTTTGAAATTTAGAAGACTCTTTTTTTTTTTTTTAGTAATACCTAGTGGAAGATTTTTAGAATTTTGGAGTCCTAATCATATGTATTTTTTTTTTTAGGGTAGGGGGGGCTCTAACCTAATCGCCACGGCACTGATAACATATGTTATATTATCTTAAAAGTAATGCAATAATAATGCCGATATGAAAAAAGTTAGTGTAATAGCTTTTTGGTGTATTTATTTAATCATAAACAGTTTCAAGTACCAGAGAGTGTCATGTACTCACCTTTTAAACATACGGCCCAAATAAATATAAAATGATATCAGTTTAATTTCTCCGTGGGCCGTTCTTACATGCGGGAATTGCTACAAGTTAATTGGTGTCAGCACCGCGGATAAGTTTGAGTCTCGTAATCAAATTTGGATTTTGTAATTTTCCCAGTTTAGTTCCAATATCATGGCAGTAGATCCTCGATTAGAATGTTTACCAGAACACGAAGGGCCAGCACTAAGGACATGGAACATTATTATGCAAACTACAATGGGAAAAGTTATAAAACCAGCTAGCTTTTGTTTCGATCCCTCCAAACAAAACGGTCTCGATAAAAGATCCTTTAAAGTTGGAGAAGATTTTATATCATTAAACAATAACAATGCTAATAAAAAATTTGATCTATATCAGGCAAAAAATATTTCGGAACAAGATACTAAGAAGTCACAACAATCTGATTTATCTGATGACGAAGACGAGAATAATAACATTCATCACGCTCCGTGGAAGAAATGTACCAAATACCCAGAGAATGCAAATGGGTAAGTTAAAAGTTTATATTTAATAAAAAATCCACCCATTGATTCTATATATATATATGTGTTTATATATATATATATATATATATATATATATATATATATATATATATATATATATATATATATATATATATATATATATATATTTATTAAGTAACTGCAATAACTTAATGTTTTTTTTAAAATTTGATTTAAAAGAAAGCCAAATATATTTATAACTCTTTTTAACTTATTGCAAAAATAACTCGATCCAAAATAAAGGTGAACGTGAACAAGAAATAAATTTTCCATCCAAAATAAAGGTGAACGTGTATTTCAGACAACTCCCTTTTGTAAGATCGTTAAAAACAAATCACGTTTTAGGCATAACATTTATTGAAAACTACACTCTTAACTCTTACCCTGAACCCAACAAACAAGTTTGTATTATTGAAAGCCATACCCTAACCAAACCTTAAGCCAAACCCTGAGCCTAATGTAAGGGTTATGGTTAGGGTTTAGTTTGTGTAGAGTTTTTAACAAAATTGGTTTCGTATAAAACTTTTTTATGGACTTAATAAAAGGGTGTGCCTTAAATACATTTTCGCTAAAATAAATGACAAAAGTAAGAAACATCAAAGTTTTTTTTATGAAGTATAATGTTTTGTCAATAATTATTATAATGAATACCATGTCTTATTTTCATTTTAGTACTTTGTTGCACCACCTCTTGCTTGTACAACTGCTTCTAAATGTCTTGGTATGCTTTTTACAAGCTTTACATGGTGTCAGCACCAATTGAATTCTAATTTTCACTAAGAACCTCATGGGATTAAGCTCTAGGCTTTGTAGCAGCCATTTAAGGATGTTAACTTCTCTTTTTTTGGTGTATATAGGGTTGTCTTGTTGAAAAAAGATTTTGCGATCTAAATTTAATTCTTTAGTGAATTGACATAAATTTTTGGTATGGAAATCAAGATATAATTGTCCTGTCATTATATCTTCAAAATTCACTAGCCTTTCCACATCATTTAGAGCAAAGCATCCCTAAGCCATTGATCAACCACCCACATCCATGCTTGACAATTTTTTTTAAAGATTTCTATCTAAGAGTACATCACAAGGTCTGCACCAGATTCTTTGTAGTTTTTTTAAAGCCAAGTGTTTACTGTCATCAGATCATAACACTGAGTTCTAAAATGCTTCATCCTTGTTAAAATTCAGTTTTGCAAATGCTAAACATTTTTTTGTTCATACTGATAATGATGGGTTTATTTTTTTGAAAACAGTTTATTAACCTATTGAATTTAAACTTTTTTGTACAGTTTGACTGAAAATCAGTTCTTTTTAAATTTTAAACACTTAATTTTTACAAAACATTTAATTTTTAAATTTCAATAACCAGCCTTATATAAGGTTATTGTTGAATTTTTCTTTGCTATCCATGCAATTAACTCAGTTTTTGTTAAAGTCTTAGAGGGGGGCAACCAAGTCTTTTCTAAATCTCAACAGAACCAGTTGTTTCATATTTTATACACATCTTTCTGACACCACTTGTTGATATTTGATATTTTTCAACATATTTTTTGCAGGCTAATCCCTTTTTTTGATCACAAATGACACAGTATCTAATTTCCAATGAATAATTTTGGTGATAAACCATTGTTATTATTAGTTTACTTTTTCTAAAAATAAATTCTAAAAAACATAGTTTTAAATGTTTATTTTTATAACTTTCAAGCCTTCCCAGGAAACGCGTGCGGTTTTTCATTTAGTAGGTCTACACATGAGTATTTTAATTCAGACAACTTGGTCACGCTGTTTACAAGTTTTATTATATGCATTGATAAAAAAGTTTTAAAAATAAGTAAAGCAAAATAACAAAATGGAAATTAAAATAAATGATAGAAGAAAATAATAATAATAACAATAGTTTAAATAATTTGTGTACTGTTTTTATTTTGTTTCTTCGTAGTGGTTATTATTTTCGGCAAAAAAATTCGGTAAGTCAAAATAAAAAAAAATTTTAAACATTACAAGGAATAATTTTTACTATATTTTATTTATTTTTTTTAAAAGAGGAAAGCAAAAATATAAATTGTCATCTGTTTGTAAAATATATTTGTATAATTTTAATGTATATATCAACGGTTGAAAATTTCACGGTTTGCTAACTTTGGAAAAAGATCTGGTCTTCAAAATTTAAGTCTATGCAAAGCTTTGTTTTCAAGGAGCAAATTATTATAAATTTGTTACCAATAAAGTATAAAAAACAAAACAAAACAATAAACTTATGACTGCAAAAGTAATAACACTCTAGTAACTAACTGCATTATAAAAGTAATAAAACTATAATAGTGTTATTACTTTTATAAAACGCTTATTACTTTTAAAGTTCATTCTTTGTTCAAACAACATTAGTAATTCCAAATATTTATTAAAGTAGAAAAGCATCTAGAAAAAATAAAGTGGATATTCAAATATTAAAAACTTAAGGAACTTTTACAAATCACTTTAACAACTTTATAAAAACGTTATTTACAAAAAGTTTAGCAATAATGTAAATGTTACTAATAGTCTGTAAAAAGGCATGTTGATTTTAAAATCAACCAATAAAAAATTTTTATTGGTTGATTTTAAAATTAATGCACTTTTTTTATGGACCATTAGTAATGTGTTTTATAATGCTAAACATTTTATATATTTATGAAGTTGTTTGTTACATTTTATAAAAACGTTTCTTAAGTTTTGAATATTATTTGAATACCCACTCTATTTTTCTAGATGCTTTCCTATTTCAATTGAAATTTGGGATTACTTATGTTGTTTGAACAAAGAATGAATTATAAAAGTAATAACACTATTATAGTGTTATTACTTTTATAATGCAGTTAGTTATTAGTGTTATTACTTTTGCAGTCGTAAATTTATTGTTTTATTTTTATTTTTTTCTATTTGAATTTCTTTATATTTCCTATTTTGTTAGTTTTGCTATTTTTATTTTTGAAACTTTTACCGAAATGATTAACATGAAACTTGCAAACAGAGTTATATATATATATTTTTTATTTGGAGTCGAATAATAATAAAAAAAAAAGTATTGCAGTTGTATAGATCATGACATAAATAATTTCATTTTTATTATTTGAGTTTTAATTTTATCAACAATGTTACTTAATATTTTCCATGACAGTGTGTGTGTATATATATACAGGTACAATGTGTGTGTATACATATAAATTGAAGTTGAACACACGGCTACGTTAATAAAAAACATCATTTTTTGAGTAAATATATATAAATTTTTTTTGATAAAATAATTCATTTTTTAAAAGACACTAAAGCAAACACTTTTAGTGCAAAAACAAACGTTATGTAGCAACTAAAATTTAATAGTGTAATTAAAAGTACTGGTTTCTATTAGCATTAAAATAACTATGACATTAAAATTTTTATAAAACAAATTTAAAAGGGATTTTGAAAGCTAAAATATTTGTTAGAAATTTATAAAAACCATTGGCCAAAAAAAAAAAAAAAAATACTTAGCTATAACTTTAGATTAATAACTAATTGCAACGTTTTAATATGAATGATAAAAACCGGGCTACTTAATTCGAAAAAATGTAATGCTTTGGCGTCTTTAAAAAAATAAATTAACTCAAAAAAATGATGTACTTTATTAACATAGCCTTGTGTTTAACTTCAATTTTGTTTCGCATAAAAAATTAAAAGTTCAAAAAATAAAGTTTATATACAATACTTAATTTATTAATAATTTTGGGAAAACTAAAATGATTAGAATTTTTATGCACATAAAATGTAGGACAAAATGACCAATAGTTTTTTTAGTATGTAGTTTTTTACTGTACAATATCTGATGTCTGACACTTATTTCAGGCCCTGTATGTATATATATAACCCAACTTAAGCAAAACTCATCAAACTAAAATGCTTAGTCTATTTATTTTACCAATTAAAAAACCATTTCATTTTCGTTTTTTGTTTTTTTAATGTTTCAAAAGATAAACGTTTATCATAAAAAATAAATAATTATATAAGTAAAAAAAAGATAACAGGTTGTTAATAATTATTTAAATTCATTAGAATGTCATTGTTTATAAAAACAAAACTATTTTTTATTGTTTAATAACTTTTTTTTATAAATAATGCACACTTGAACAATTTATATATTATAAATTAAAAATATATATACAACTCCTAATTAAACTTTAAACAAAAAAACATTAACAGTAAATTGTTTCTTTATTTAAAAACGTTTCGCTAATATAAAAACATTTGTTAAAAGTTTTGATTTAAATTATTTCACTTAAGGTACAATTCAAAATATTTTTTATTCTGCGCGTTTTTACAATATTTTTTGAAATATCCGCGGTCAAAACGTCATAGCAAAATGTAATTTGCCCTGGTTATATAAAGACGTGCGATCGCACGTTTTCCTTTGAAAGCCTGTATTTATATAAATGTAATTATGTATAAAATTCTTATATAATGCAAATAAAATGGGTTTATTGTAAACATTATGAATAATTTATTACTTTATTTAATAAAGTAATAAGTAAACCTAATTTATGTATTTAATATACTTACATTGTAATTTATGTATTTAATATTGTATTTTTATTATACATTTTTGTTATATATTTATTATGTATTTAATATATTTATCTCATAATTTATGTAATTAATAGTTTACAAAACATTTTGCCTAGTATAGTAATTTTAAAAAAACTTAATATAAACAGGGCTCAAATTAACACCAAAAAATCTAATCACGAAAAAAAAAATTCCTCCCCCCCCCCACCTTATACCATGCGCCATTTGCAGTAATAGGGGGGGAGGGGAGGTAAGTTGGGTTAGTATATAATTGTAAGTTTTGTACGTAGTTGTTCTATTTTTAACATATTATCTCTCATATTTAAATATAATCTTATAATTTTCTTTTTTGGCAGAGTTTAAAATAGCTTAAGTTACTGTTATTATTTACAACTTAAAGTTTAAGTTGCAGTTGTAATAAGCAATAACGTTTTTAATACTATTGAGATATTTATTTAAGTATATTTTTACTTAACATGATACTTAAAAAGTAAAAGTAAAAAAGTAAAAGTAAAAAGCAAACAATACAATTTTTAAACTACTTAATTAGTCAAAGAAAATATTTAATACGTTCATGCTGGCGTTAAAACACGTGTTAATTTAAAAAAGTATTTAATTGTTAAAAGCTATAAAACAACATTAAAACAAACTGCAAAGTTGTTTTAAAAATATGAAGAGCTTGGAATAATGTAAAACAAATTTGTGACGCTGTTTTGTTTTGATTTATACAGTTTATAAAATAAAACGCGTTTAAAATAAAAGGAAGCAAATAAATAAAATTGAGCTAGTTAATAAGCTAAAACAAAACTTCATACTTGCGCTGATAGACCTATACAAGTTTATAATCTATAGACCAAAGGAGTAAGATCAAAGCAAAAAAATATTAGATACCACGTCTTTTACAAATTATTGTTTCCTAATCAAGCGTACTATTAAAAATTTAAGTATAATTAAGTTTTTCATTCAAAAAGTTTTTAAACTGATGTTTTCATTCAATTTTTTTTTATTTTAATTGTTTTCCAAAAAAAAGTGAAACAAAAAATTTTGTTTAATAAATCGAATTATATTAAGTATAAGAATATGCTTAATATATTTTTTTAGAAATAAATTTTTTCGAACAGAAGTAAAATAATTTGTTAAATTTAATTTTAATTTATTATAATTTTTATTTTAACTTGCAATTTGCAATCACTGCTTTGATGTTTTCAATAGAATGTTTCTACTTTTAAAATTATTTTCAAAAAAAAATATATAATTCAAAACGTTAACAAAATTTGCAATTTACGAAACAAAAAGTTTCATCTTCATTCTCCCTTGTTTCATCAAACTTTTTTTAAGTTAAAATTTTTTTTTTTCAATTTCAAATTTCAATCACAAAATTATTTGAATAAGTGAATTTTAAGGCTAAAGTTCTCTTGTTCAAATAGATTTCTTTTTAAATAAAATTCCTGAAAACAACTTGCGTCTTTATAGAAAATGTTTAGTCTAGATGTCGCTACAAATAAAATGAAAATTTAAAAAAATGGTGTCGCGTTTTTCATATTCTATTCAACAGTTTTTGTTAAAATAATTATTAGTTAAAAGCTTATATTATGTGTTAACAACATGTAAGATCTAAATTGAAACATGCCTATGGCTAACTTTTGCGAGTATATTAAATAAATTAATATAATTGTTAAATTAATACTTGAGTAACTGTAAGTTACTATCTTAACTTAAATGGTTGTTTTTATTCAAGTTTTAAAGTTAATTTATTGTGGTATACTCTGTCCATTCAGTAAAGATAACTAATCATAACTTCAATAGTGTCAAGGTCGTTAAAAGCGAAAAATGTGAAAGCAAAAAAGTTGCTGGTTTCTATTAGTACAATTTTACTAATAGAAATTTTATTTAAAAAAACGAATTAATATATATTTAATTATACTTAAAGCAGTAAAAATAATTATATAAAATTGTTTATAAAATAATAATTTAATTTATTATTAATATGTTAATTTAGAGCAACGTTTTTTTTAAAAAAACATAAAAATGCTGTTTTGTTAAAAAAAGTAGAATGAAGAAAATTTTTTTTGCTTCTGCGCAGAGATTTAAAGTAATTTAAATTAAAAAGTGCTTTACATTGAATAAAAATCTTAGCGCGAAAGAGCAAATGATCATGCTTCTATTCAAAAGACAAGCTTTGCGTGACATTACTATAAAAACATTACTTTTTAAGAATTGCCAAAAAAAAAAAAGCTAAATTAGAAAAATAGTAAATAAACAACTAAAAAAGTAAACCAACCGCGAAAGAAAAAGTTAATTGCCAAAATATAAAAAGCAATTGCGATTCGCGATCGTGATCGAGCCCTGATAAATATATTATCCTTTTCAAATTTTAGTTTTTTGAGCTTAGATTTTTTCTTTTTCATTAAAATTTTTTTTTTTTGTTCGATAATTTATCTTACAAATTGCGTGGCCAAATTATAAAAACAAAATATTTTATGAGTGGTCAGGAATGGCATTTGATCGCACTTCTTTAATTTTTATTAGACATTTCCGGTAAACTTTATCGAAGTCTTTATCGGACAAATATTCCGGTACAAAAAAGTTCGCTCTTTCAAGCCCTGTATATATATGTATATATATGTATGTATGTATATATATATATATATATATATATATATATATATATATATATATATATATATATATATATACATATACGTATATATATATATATACATATACGTATATATATATATATATATATATATATATATATATATATATATATATATATATATATATATATATATACATACATACATACGTATATATATATAAAGTAAATATTACATGGTAAATTATTTTATCAAGTTTCATTTGAAGATTTTCAAATTGGCTTATTATTATGAACCGATAAGCTTTATTAAGACATAATATATTTAATATTACACTGTGATACTGCTGCTCTTTTGAAAAATGAGAAACCTATAATTCTAATATGCAATTTTTAAAAATAATGTCTAAATAGTATCAAAAATAAGATAAATTCTATGAATACTTTACAAAATAAATTAAGAGCAATTAATTACTGACAGCATTTGGGTATTGAAAGCAAAGTATTTATTTGTTTTTAAATGTTATACTACCAGGGTATCCCACAATCCTCTGTAAACAAATTTTTACGCGAGTTAACAGCCCTTGATGCCAACCTGACAGTGTTTGAGGTTTGCAATTTTTTTTAACTTAAGTTTAAAACATGATTTTGTTTGCTGTTTTGACCAAGGTTGATAGGTTTAAACCAATGGTTTAAACCATTTGAAAAATATCAATTTTAACCAAAATAATATTTCTTAAACAACTTGAAATCTATAAATCGAACTATATCTTTCATGTAATACTATGAATGCACCTGTTTAAAAGCATAAAGATGCTTCTGAAAAATAATTTCTCATGTATATTAAATTTACATTAAGTTATTTATTTGACACCTAAACAAGAAGCCCAGACATTATACTAGTATTCTTGCCAAATTTAGTTGATATAGCACTAGTATTAAATTATTTATTAATTTTGCCTCAAAATTTGCTATCCTGACCCACTGTGCAATGCTTGTGAAAATAGTCATGAATGTAAATATTTTTACATTAATATAAAGTTTCTTTGTTCTTCAATAGATTACACCAAGAGATTATTGACTTTTATAACTACATGGCTCCTATGCCTGAGGAAGAAATGATGAGAAATGATGTGATACAGAGGATAACTGATCTTGTTGTTAGTATATGGCCAAGTGCTAAGGTAATGATTTTTAAAATCGAATTAAAATTTTTATTAGGATTAAATATTATTAAAATTATAAATTCATTTATAAATAGATCTGTTGATTAAATGTTTGTTATATATATATATATATATATATATATATATATATATATATATATATATATATATATATATATATATATATATATATATATATATATATATATATATATATATATATGCATATATATACATATATACATATACATATATATATATATATGCATATATATACATATACATGTGTATATATATATATATATATATATATATATATATACATATATACATATATACACATATATATATATATATATATATATGTATACAGGTTGTTACCCAGGAAAAAATTTCATACAGCATTTTTGCCAAATTGGGAATTTAGGTGCAGCTAAAAAAAAAAAAAAAAAAAAAGGGCCTTACATTCTGCAATTAAATTTTATATTTTTGCTGGGAGTTACATTTACAGCAGGATTATTTTTCTACTTTATATATGTTTAATTTTAATTGATCAACTTGTTTCATTATGAGCAATCTTCTAAAGTTTTTATTTAAATTGCTTCTTTTCTTTGTTTTTGACATACTGCAGCCGTTTTTCAAAACGCCTTAATTACGTATTTCGAGAAAGGCGCAATTAAAAGAGATTTAAAAAAAAAAAATCTAAACTCGAGAATAAGTGACGTCAATAAAAATTTTAAATAAAATTTTTTTTTAAACTTTTGAATGAATGATCTTGTTAAGGTTAATGACGCTTGTTAATGATGACACGTTTTTACACATGAAAAAAATCGATCAATTTAATTCATTTTTTCGTCATGCATACTAATTTTTACTAGTCTAGCGAGACACTTTATATCTGAGACTGACTTAATTTTTTTATTTTTTTTTTTTACTATGATCTTATAAACCTCTAGGAATTTTAAACCAATTGGGAATACCGTGTTATACGCGGTGCCAACAGGCTGGGTAACACCCTGGTATATATATGTGTGTATATATATGTATACATTGTATATATATACATATATGTGTATATATATATATATATATATATATATATATATATATATATATATATATATATATATATATATATATATATATATATATATATGTACGGCGGGAAGAATAGAGTGCAAGAGCAGCAAAAAGCTCTCCTAAAGTGAACATAGAGAGCTATGCGAGCTGCTCCACTAAACAGCTTCTTAAGAGAGCTTTTAGTTTTTGCGAGAGCTATCTGTTTCTTCATTAAAAAATTTGCTTATTAATTTAAAAATTTTGGAATTGTGGAAGCCAAGCCTTTTAAATAAAATTATATTTAAAAGGTTGTTAAAGCGAATATTGAAAAAGGAAAAGACGTTAGAGCGAATTTATTCTTCATTCTTTTCTTTTTTTTTTAAACAGCCTGGTTTTTATCTTTGTCTTTCAAAATGTTGCACCAAATTAACTTATTATTAATGATTTAAGTTATTATTTTATCATCAATTTTATATTATTTTATATTATTAATTTTACTACTTTAAGTATATTGAAATATATATTCAATCCTTATTTTTTTTTTTTTTCAAATACTTAATAAATGCTAATAGAAACCAGCAACTTTTTTGTATCAATGTTTTTAAGCTTTTTCTTAAACTTAATGAAATATAATTTGATTTATTAAACCAAATTTTTTTGTTTCACTTTTTGTTGGAAAACAATTTGAATAAAAAAGTTGAATGAAAACATCAATTTAAAAACCATTTAAATGAAAAACTTAATTATACATAAATTTTTATTAATCCTCTAGATCAAGAAACAATAAATTATAAAAAAAAGTGGTGTCTAACTTTTTGTTCTTTAATCTTACTCGTTTGGCCTATAGATTATAGACTCGTATGGTCTATAGAAATGTTTTTGCGCAAATATTAAGTTTTATGAAGATAGTTTTTTAATTTATTAAAAAGAACAATTTCATTGAATTTTTTTGTTTTATTTTAAACGCGTTTTATGTTAAGGTTATAAATTGTATAAAACAGCAACAAAACAGCGTCACGAAGTTGTTTTACATTAACACAAGCTATTTATATAATTAAAACAACTTTGCAGATTGTTTTAATGTTGATTTATAGCTTTTTACAATAAAAATTCAATACTCTTAAAAAATAACGGGTTTTATCGTCAGCAAGAACGTATCAAAGATTTAAATCGTAATCATAAGAATGAAATTTTATGACTATGTTTAAATATGAGAGATAATATGTTAAAAAATAACAATTATGTACAAAAGGTGCTCATGCACCCACCCCCAACCCCATTACCGCAAAGCAGCGCGAGTTATGATGGGGGAGGGGAAGTCAAAAAAATTTTTTTTCTTTGCGGTTAGATTTTTTTGCGATAAATCGAGCCCTGTGATATATATATATATGTATATATCACGATGTTAGCCAGCCTGATGGCACCACGTATAACGCGGTATTCCCAAATGGTTTAAAATTGCCCAAGGTTCATAAGATCATAGTAAAAAAAAAAAAAAATTAAGTCAGTCTCAGATTTAAAGTGACGTGCTACACAATTAAAAAACGCAATTAGTATGCACGACGAGAAAATGAATTAAATTGTAGGTATGTGTGTAAAAATTTCAAATTATTTTTATATATAAATATTATATATCCTTAGAAAGAGCTCTAAATTAGTATTACATTGAAGAAAATTTCATAAAAAATGATAAATCCTACAAAAAGTTATGCCCATTTAAGTAACAAAATTTCATTATAAGGATTGCTTAAGAAAAATGCAACCAACAAGAGAAATTCTCATCCAGCTAACGGTACTTTTGTTATAATAACTTCTATTGTTAAATTGCTTATTATTTTGTTTTCTTCAAATTTCAATTTAACACAATTTAAACAAAAAATAAATATTGCTTATTTAAAGGGATCTCAAACTCCCAACACAACATGTGTTGGGAGTTGGGATCCCTTTAAATAAGCAATATTTATATTTTTTGGGATATTCAAGATAATGTTAAAAAAAAAGTTTGAACCAAGTTTTTTTCATTAAAAATAAATAATGAATGCATACCGAGAAAAACTAATGTTGTTGTTTTAGCCGAAGCTCGCCTTCTCCATTTTTTTCAATAACTTCGTCTTCTCCATTTTTTTCAATAACTCGGAGTCTTTAAATTATACGTCGCGATCTACAGACTTCAGCGATTCCTTTGAAGCGCGTTTAATTAATAAAAGTTTTAGCATTTGACGTCACGGTGATTTTTAACAAAAGAAAAGTGTAATTAAACAAAGCTGCGTTTTTATATTTTAATACAAAAATAAAATTTTAAAAATAATAAAAGCTTTTTATTTCATAGGAGGAACTTTTTTTTTACCGATATCTTAATAATTTTCAGATTTATATATCTTACTTATAATTCTTTTGTTTTTAAATTAAAACAAATATTAAAGCTTTACTTACGAATCTTATGATTTTCATACCAGTATTTTACATTATATAGAACGTTATGTTAGCGGTCTCTCGTTTTTGTGCAAGAGAGCGCAGTATTATATATTCTGAATCTTACTTATTTTTATTTAAACAATGGGAACTTTTTTCTAACTTCTGGTTATTTTGACGCTATGATATTTTTTGTTTTCCCATTGAAAAAAAGTATTTATTAACAATTAATTTCATACACTGACAGTATTAATTAGAGATATTTGATAAATTGTTAACTTTTATTATTATAAAAATTTTTTGATTACCAGGCTTTCCCAGGAAAGGCGTGCGGTCGCACACCTTGTTTGTCCACGCATAGAATAATTTTTTCAGAAAACGTGACCGCGGCATTATTTTGTAAGAAAGCGGAAATTATCTACAGAAAATAAAAAATAATATTATAAAAATGAAGCGAAGTCTAAACAAAGTATAAAATTGAAATTAGATGTAAGAAAAATATTTTGATAATAAAAAAAATTTTTGTAACAAAAAAAAAAAAGTCTTGAACATTTTTTTCAAAATTTTTATACTGTCTTTGTTTTCTTTTATTAGGGTTGCTATTTTCAGCTACGAAATTTGATACAAGTCAAGGAAAAGACGATGATAAGTCATAAAGTTTTCACGAAAATAAAAAGACTTGATATGTAATTTATTCACGAACTTTATCAGACAATGCATTAAAAAACTGATTTATTATTTATGCTAGACAAATTTGGTTAAACTTTTTCATTTAATTTAGTTTTTACGCAGGTTTATGCAAAGGCAATGACTTTATTCCCCAATACTTAGACAAGAAAATAAGTTGCTGTTTTAATTATTAAATATATTATTTGAGATTTTAAACATAAAAAAATTTTAATGTGAAAAAAGTTCTTTTTCGACTTATTTAAAACTGATTATACTGAGTCAATGCTCGCCTTTTATTACGTTGAAATTATTCAATTGCATAATTTTGTAATTACGAAAGAAGTTAAAAAAATAATTGCATTGCTTCTGTTGTCATTGTTACGAAAACAGTTCCTTTGGGACATTATTATATATTAACACTCGTTCACAATGTCAATTAATGATTGCAAAATAAGCAACTCAATCGTTTGACAATAAAATTTTCTTTCATTTAAAAAACAAACAAACATATTTTACTAATAAATAGCAATTGTTTTCGTGTTTTCTTGCGTATCAATACATTCAAACATTAAAGTCAATACATTGAAACATTTAAATGTGTTTACGAAACATTTAAAAACTGTTTATAGTTCTAGCGTGAATTTTAAAGTATTACTGACTGATAAAAGTCATAAACAAATTTTACATTAAAAGGTCCTTTTATTTTCTTTAAACATTAATTTTTTTCTTTTTGATTTGATTTTTCTTATTGATTTGATTTTTCATAGCTTAAATAACTACCACCCTAAAAAAATATAAATATAAAATGTAGGTAAATTTTTTTTTTAATAATATACATTAATTTTTTAATTTTAAAGCACAAACAGATTTCTGTTATT